ACGTTTGGGCATTATGGCTTGCAATAAAGATACTCAAGTAAATCAGCATGTTTCTGATGAATGAGAGTATTCATTTTAAGCTTATATGACTATAAGCTTGGTCCTTTATCTACTTTCAGCACACATTGCCCATCCCGAATGATTCCTTCAGCCATCGATGACTTAGTGATCCCTTATCTATTCCAGCTGCCTTAGGCCCCAACTCATGAGACAGGCTTCCAACTGTGGAGCGATATTCCTGGTCCTTGTCTCTACTGTCCTTGGGTGTCAGTCTCATATTATGTTATTTTATATTCCACAGAAGAGTGCAGTCCTTCTATGTCTGTCCCTCTCTTTCTGACTCATTTCACTTAGCATGATACTCTCAGGGATCATCTACTTATAAGCAAATTTCATGTTTCATCTTTCCTATCAGCTGCATAGTATTCTTTTGTGTAGATGTACCAAAGTTTCTTTAGCCAATCGTCTGTTCTTAGACACTCACGTTGTTTCCAGATTCTGGCTATTGTGAATAATGCTACAATGAACACACAGTTGCAGATATCATTTCTACTCTGCTTTTTGCACCCTCAAAATATATTCCCAGAAGTGGTAATGCTGGGTCATATGGAAGCTCAATTTCTATTTTTTTTAAGGAATTCCCATATTGTTTTCCAAAAAGGCTGGACCAGTCGGCAGTCGTCCTTGGGACATGTTACATTAAATATATCTATCTGTTCTGTCACAAAAATGACTCCAGATTGTTATTTTAAGCATTCATGTTAACAATACATTTAGAGATCAACAATAAATTAGATATTAGTGAATACAATTTTTTTCTAGCTTAGAAGTTTATTTGGGGACATTACTCAAAAGAAACACTTTGCATGGGCTGGATAAGAACTCCCAGGGAGGTGTGTGTGCTCTGTCTACCTGAGGTCTGCATTCTGTCCCCAGCTCTGCATGAAGTCTCAGCATCATAAGAGCATCCCTCAAGTGCTGAGCCAGGGGTGGCCCCTGATTACTGCTGGGTGTGGCCTATAATCCAAAAGAAAAAAGGAAAAGAAATGCTTTGCTCAACATTTTCTACTAGATACAACTTTTGATCTAATTATGAGCCTCACTTGATGAATAATACCAAAAAATTTTACTTTTTAACTTGGACTGGAGCGATAGCACAATGGCTAGGATGTTTGTCTTGCACGCAGCTGACTTAGGTTCAATTCCTCCATCCCTCTCAGAGAGCTCGGCAAGCTACCGATCGTATCCCGCCCAAATGGCAGAGCCTGGCAAGCACCCCGTGACATATTCAATATGCCAAAAACAGTAACAACAAGTCTCACAACGGAGACATTACGGGTGCCCGCTCGAGCAAATCGATGAACAATGGGAGGACAATGCTACATTGCTACTTTTTAACTTGTATATCCATGTGGTCTATCACAGAGCAGGGTTCACAGTAGATAATAGACTGTGCAATGCATCATCCAAAGTTTTGATGAGATTATTTATTCTACTTCTGCACTCTGCAACCACACACACACATACACACACACATGCACGCTTGTGCACACTTTTACATGTGCATGCACACACAGTGACTTTAAATGATTAATACACATGAACACGCAGATGTAAAACGTTTAAGGTTATAAAGGCAATGTTTCTCACTTTATTGTTGTGTGAACTGGTCTCTGAGAAGTGTTGGCTCACAAAGTTTCTAAATAACTTCTGGCACTGAAGGTGCTATATGAACCATTTGTGCCAACTGGGGTCAGTACATACATTTTTCAGTAAGCTTCGGTTTGATCATGCAGAAGACAAAGGTGTTGAGAAGAAGCTGGCTGCAAGGAACCATTTAGCTCTTACATTATGTAAATATGTTTTGAAAGATTTTGAAAGTAACGTATAAAAGGAACAAGAGAGATAGTGCAGCAGCAAAAGCACTTACCTTCCCCTGTATATTGCCATTCAGGGTACCACATCCCTGACACCACATATGTCTCTTGAGCAGGACCCAGTGATGACCCCTAGGCACAGAGACAAGACCAAACCCTGAGCATAAACACGTGTGCTTACCTCACCAAAAGGTAAAATATTCAAAAAGTTTGAGTCGTGACTCTCAAAAAAAGTAATAAAGGACTTTGTGGTCAATAGTTTCACTGTCACTGTCACTGTCCTCCCGTTGTTCATCGATTTGCACGAGTGGGCCCAGTAACGTCTCCATCGCGAGACTTTGTTGTTACTGTGTTTGGCATATCGAATATGTCCCGGATAGCTTGCCAGGCTTTGCCGTCTGGGTGAGATACTCTCTGTAGCTTGCCAGGCTCTCTGAGAGGGGCAGAAGAATCGACCTCGGGTCGACCATGTTGGCTGCGTGCAAGGCAAATGCCCTACCCGCTGTGCTATCGCTCCAGCCCACCCTGAACGCGCCAGATCTCGTCTGATCTCAGAAGCTAAGCAGGGTCGGGTCTGGTTAGTACTTGGTCAATAGTTAACTATAGTAAAATTTTCAGAAAGAGAAAATGGATTACTATTGAAGTGGAAATGCACACAAATGAAATATTTTACTCAAATAATCAACAAAAGAATCAGTAAGATGGGAAAGCCATTTCAAAGAGTACTTGAAAAGCTACAAATATGTGAGCAACATTAGGATATTTTTATTTTTTTAGCTTAGATTTTAAAAAAAAACTGGTTAATTTCCAACATGGTAGCACTGTAGCACTGTCCTCCCGTTGTTCATCGATTTGCTCGAGCGGGCCCCAGTAACATCTCCATTGTGAGACTTGTTATTACTGTGTTTGGCATATCGAATACATCACGGGTAGCTTTCCAGGCTTTGCCATGCGGGCAAGATACTCTCAGTAGCTTGCCAGGCTCTCCGAGAGGGGCAGAAGAATCAAACCCAGATCGGCCAGGCCAGCAGCATGCAAGGCAAACACCCTACCGCTGTGCTATCGCTCCGTAAACTATAACTATGACCATCATGAGGGTTTTATCTGTTCCGCCAGATAAAAATAATTGCGACTTTATGGAATAAAAATCTACACCTTAACCTCAATCCTACAACATAATTAAATAGCCTATTTAATAGAAAATTTAGTGCTAAACCCAATATTGCACTGAAAGAACACTCAAAAATGATCCAGAGAAAGATGAAAGTGGTAGAGTATATGTGAAATTGATTCCCAGCAGTGCCGTGGGGACCCCAACACTGCCAGGCTGAGTAAGGAACCATCACACCACACTGCTGGGCTAGACACCAGTAAGTGACCCATGCCCTTAAGTATCACTCAATTAAAATTTACCTTCTGGCTAGTTCCTAGATTCAGATAAACATTTCACGGAGGATCACCACTATCCTGTTGTTTGTCGATTGCCTCGAGCAGGCCCCAGTAATGTCTCCTTCATCCTAGCCCTGAGATTTTTAAAAAGCGCCATATTCAAGATTCTTTCAGGCTTAGGAGAATGAGACCCATTGTTACTGGTATTTGGTATATTGGGTACGCCACGGGGAGTTTGCCAGACTCTGCCGTGTGGGCAGGTTACATTCGGTAGCCTGCCGGTTTGTCCAAAGTAAGAATGAGATAATAAGATGTCATTATTATTAAGCACACTTTCAGGAGCTGGGTTTTATAGTCTCTGGGTCTTGGCCGTTGATGGGGTTACATGGCACCAGGGGACCAGTTGGTGGGTGTGACCCCTGCCTACTGGAATATGGAGGATCTGGGTGGAGGATGCTCAGCCTCGATCCGAGCAGGCCTGGAGATCTCAGCCCCGGGACCCACATGCCCTTGTTCCTCTGCCAGTACCTTCATGCATGTGGAGAGTGGTCTCAGCACGGTGGTGGCTGGTTCTGGAGGTCTTCGGCTGCCTGAGCTCTGGTAGGGGCAGGGAGGGAAACTCAACCCGACCCCTTCCAAGGGGCCCCGGTGAGGGCAGCCAGGCTTGGGGTCAGATAAACATTTATGATAACCCAAATTGTTTTTCATAAATGTAAATTATTAAATCCTGATGACATTTCATTTTTAGAGACTTTTTATCATCTTTAATCCTTGAACAATTTCCCTACTTTGAGAGCAGTGCCTAAAATGTTTCTTCCTTTGTTCACTGCTAAGATTATACATTAAAAATTCCATAAGGCAAGGTTAAAATTCATGTATATGTATTAGTTTGGTCAATGGAGATGATTTATTATAAAAATACAGAAGAATAAATAAAGCACGATAGGAAGTCATAGGTTATAAGGGCAGGAGAAATAGCTCTTTGGGCTAAGTGTCAGTTCTGCATATAGGAGACCCAGGATCAATGTCCAACACCACCTGGTCCCCTAGACACTACTAGGAGTAGCCTCTGAGCTCTTCTGAGTGTGGCTCCCAAATAAAACCTAATTAAATGACCAGAAGTTACAAATATTAGTAAGATAAATCTAAGGCATTTTTATATGTTGATAAGTTTCTTAAATACCTAATGAGTTAATTTTTTTTTGTTTTTGCTTTTTGGGTCACACTCAACCTATGCTCAGGGGTCACTCTTGGCTCTGCACTCAGGAATTAATCCTCTCAGTACGTGGGAGACCATATGGGATGCCAGGTATTGAACCCAAATTGGCTGCGTGTAAGGCAAACGCCTGACCCGCTGTACTATCATTCCGGCCCTGAACTTAATTTTTATGTCATGAAAAAAAATTATATAATGGTAAGGACTCACCCCAAGCAAAGGAAACAAAATGTCATTCCAATAGAATTTTTTGCTGTTCAGTTGTTTCTGTCTTACAGTTTTGGTTTTGGGGTCACTTTCTGTGCTCAGAGGCTCTGTGTTGGGGGGGGGTCTCACTCCTCCCAGAGGCATTACCAAGGGTTGAACCCTGGGATCCCACAAGCACTCTGGACCTCTGAGCTCTCTTCCCAGCCCTCAGGGGCTTTTTGTAGCAAAGAAAAGATAAATCTTTTACATTTCACTTCTGCATAGAAACTTATTTCAAAATGAAAGGAAACCAAAGAAAAGGTGCGCAAACATATTTTCCAATATTTTATTACAGATTTTAAGATAAGTATTCGTTTTAGTAACATCAACGTCGAGAAAATAAATCACACGAGAAAAAGCATTTGTATGACTGCAAAGATAGTTGTTCTATTTTAAATTTATCATTATAAATTATCATAAATTTATCACCTAATATGCTTATGTGAACCAAACCATGGAATAATCTGAGATCATCTGAAATGCACTGAGTATTCTAATTATTTCAGCAGGAGAAAAAAATAGAGCATTGTTTGCTAGAATTAAAAGCCTGGCCTTTAGTTATCTGTTATGCAAAAAATAACATAGCATGAATTATTCACTGATTACACTAACAAAATACACTGTAAAAAATTATTAAACTAAGCATGTGTTTCTGGTTCTATCATTTACTATTAAACCCTTTGGAATAACTGAAGGTAATGAATTCAGACTCACATGGGCTCTCCTATAAACCGACCCAAGTTGCACCAAAGTAGTGTATCTTGAGGCATAAAAATTTAAGCTCACTTCTAAGGATCCCACCCCCAATATCCCAAAATCGGACCCAAAGTGCATCATTCCTGAAAATCACATTCAAATGGAAATATGCTACCTTGATAAAGCAAGGTGTGATGATATCTTGACAAGACAAGCTGTTAGACAATTTGACAGAGTTATTTCAAGTCAGTAGCTTAGTCGGTGTAATTTGGGTCTCCAAGTTCTTATTAGGCAGACTTCTCATAAATATGCTAATTCGGGAGCCAGAGCTATAGTGCAGACACTAAGGCAGAAGTTTTGTGACAATATGGTTCCCTGAGCATCACTGCAAGCAGCACTGGGAACCGTTAGCACCTGTGGGTCTCCCAGCACCACGGGGCCAGAGCAACACCCCGGCTCTTGAATGGAATGGTGGGCCCACTGGGCTGAGAATCTCTGGAAGGAGCACCTAAAGGCCTCCTGAACACTCCTAGGGAGACCCCAAAACAACAAACAATGAAACAAATGCTAATTCAATAGGCAGGGCAGGAGAAGGGAGGAGGTGCCCAGATGAGCAAGAAGACTCAAGAGAATCGGAACACTGCAATATTCTGGTTATATTGGACTACAGGGAGACACTGCAGTCTAAAAACAAAACATGGGAAGAGGTAAAAATGGTCGAAAGATCAATAATTAATTGATTAAGGGTGCTACCAGGGTGTCCAGAGAAGTAATAATTTCATGATAAAATTACTTTTCTTTCCTGACTCCATTTTCTCTACTACTGACATGTTATTGTGATTTTCCATTTTCATAAATTTGTATAAATTTGAATATATTTATATATTCAAAATTTGGGTATCACGATATGTCTATAACTTACTATAATATCTTTATTTTGGTTTTGGGGGGAATATATGTCAGTACTCAGCTTATTTCTGAACTTAGGAATCACTCCTAACAAGACTCAGAGGATCACATAGGGTGCCAGGGATTGAACCTGGGTGACTGCGTTTAAGTTGGGCAGTTCACCCACTGTTCCATCTCTCCAGACCTTTATTATAATGGTTTTTAATTGTTCTTATTCTCAATGATACAGAGTTAGCCATAGAACATCAAAATGGGAGTGTAATTTAGCAAAAATTAAGAATTAAAAAGATACTAGACCATGTATGATCAACATTTTAAACTGTCTATAAACTTTCAGGGAAAAAAGTCTGTAAGTCAGCCTTTAGATAAGTGTAAAGTGGGGTTTGGAGGGTAATGATTATATTCTCTAGGAATTAGAACTTTATTTGAATATCTAGCATGTGTGATTATCATAGTTACATTCTAAGGACACAAAATCCTAGTACAATGCATAATACTAAATATCCATCTACCTTCTTCCTAATTAAAAATTTGATATAGAGAGTTTGGGGAGAATAAACTAAGGGTTTATGATATTCCAGTTTGCTATTTTAGAACTGGTCATGTGTTTTCATGGAGGAAATTTTATCAGGAAGGGTTTAATTTATTTTGCCCTTACTTCTCATACTGGAATACTTGACACTATTTTTAAACTCAGCCAGTATCTGATCCTATTGCCAATCTCTGGGACATATCAACCAAATCAGATTAAATGAAGAGAAGAACACTAACATTTAAAACAACTTAGATATTATATTATATTTTTGTTAAGAATAAGCATTTTTTAAAGTATCCATTAAAAATAAGAGATATTATATGATGTGGTTTTACATAGGAACTTGCTAGCTTCATGTTGTTTAATTTATAAGTTTCTAGGTAGAAATTGGACCAAGAGTGAGAAAACAAACTACTACCATACACAGAGTCAGTTTTAGATGATACCCATATTAGGAACCAATTAATTTCAAAAAGTTCTGTAAAAATGATTCTTGCAATATACACAAAGAGGTGTTGGAGAGATAGCACAACAGTAGAGTTCTTATGCATATGATTGACCCAGGTTTGATCCCTGACATATGGTCCCCAGAGCACTACCAGAAGTGGTCCTGAGCACAGAGCCAGGAGTTGCCCCTGAGCATTGTTGGGCATGGTCCAAAGCCAACAAAATTATGATTCTTGCAGCACAGATTCAGATAATCTTTTATAGAGTAGAATCTATTTATCTATCTATCCATAAATGTATATAGATATGTATGTGGATAGATAGACATGTAAAACAACCACAAACACGTGGTTTTACAAATAACCTGACAACTCTACTTAACATACTGTAAGTGCTGAAGCTTTCACATATCATGTTTCCAGTCCAATATAGAGTTGTCACTGAGTAATGTTTGGACTGCAATATTTTAACAATTAGTGACAAACAAGCACCAAGAACTATTCCTATCAGAATTTGGCCACAATCTGAGAAAATGGCCTAAACTATAATAATAAATGGAAGTAGTATCTCTTTTTTCACTGACAAATATTTCATCAACACTAGCTTGAGTAGTAATCAAAACCCTTTTGTAAATAGAGGCTAGACTCCTGTGGCATGGTGTGAGAGTGAAATATAAACAACTACTTTAGTATACTTGCTAAAGCTTTTAAGTCTACTTTCAGTGCTCAGGTCCATCACACATATTTGGTTAAATTCACTTATGTATTCATCTACTGTACCTCTTTCCTAAGAGGACCTGAGGTGTCAGATTTTCAGAACAAAAACAAAAACATCTAAGTATTCTAGCCAGAAAATCCTTCTGTTATTCATTCATAGGTAAGACTTTCACCCCATGTGCATTGATGTAAGTAAGAAGAATTTTGGCTCTCTGCTCAATTACATCAATCAGCTTTTCGATCCCTTGTCTACCTCCTTGACTTTCCCAGTAAACTTTATCAAGAAACAGGGACTGAAGAAGTTTCTGCCTTAAGTGCTGGCTCTTCAAAACAGAAATTGCAGATTCGGGAAACCTGAAAAGATAAAATAATATATCATTCCTAGTAACTGCTTGGAAATATTACACTTTACCCAAATGTTCTACCCTTCATTAATCTGGCATAAATCACACCTTCAAATGATACCTTTAAAATTAAAACGTTTTTGTCACTGTCGAGCTGACATCTTTCTTAATAACACAACAGGATTAAAGTTTCAAAGAAATTGAATTTTTTTTGCTATTCAAAACTTGGCACACTAACTTCTTAAGATCACGTTATGTTGGCAAAGAGAGAACAGAGTTAAAAAGGAATCTCTTAGCCTGGACAAAAACACTTTTCTGTAGCTTAAATTCCATTTCACCCGTTTAAACCACTCTCTGTTCTATAGAGTGATATCCTCATAAATGTCAACGTGGCATTTTATGCTTATAATATAACTACAAAATGCTGACATTTCAATAAATCACTCTTCCTATGTAGATTGATATGAGTAATCCAAAATGCACCTACTAAAATAGAATCATTTGAAATACCCAATTAAAGATATAAATTCCTTTGATTCAGATTTTACCAGAAATTCTACTGAGATGGGATTTTTGTATTAATCCGAAATGCTAACTTGTTTTCAAATACACTTTTTAAGTCCCAGTTTGAAAGTCAGGACATTCCACGGTGAATGCCTCTTGGAGCATCTAAGGCCAACTTAAAGGGAAGTTGCTAAATTACCCTTTTAAAAGGCATATTTGGCTTGTCTTTTGTTAGAAAGCGTAAAGTGAGGGGTCCAGGACATGCATTATCTGAAGCATGGAGTAAAGTTCCAGGTTCAAAATCATAGCCAATATTTTTCTGAATCTCAAATTTACTTCTTCCAATTTTAATGAAAATGCTGGTAAAAGTAGAGTAAAACACTGGAATTTAGTAGAAATGTTCAAGCAAAAACAGTTGTGTCTCAAAATCAAAAGCAACAGCATATATTTGTTTAACTTTTTTTTTTCTTTTGGTTTTCTGAGTCACACCCAGCAATGCACAGGGGTTACTCCTGGCTCTGCACTTATGATTTACCCCTGGTGGTGCTCAGAGGACCATATGGGATGCTGGCAATCAAACCTGGGTCGGACACGTGCAAACCTTACCCGCTGTGCTATTGCTCCAGCCCCAAACATTTTGTTTTGTCCCAGAAATTTCATTTTGTTCCAGAAATTTCAGAACTTCTGAACACTTTTCCAAATTTCAGTGAAGCAAGTTGAGGAGGCCTAAGAGTCAATGATTCTGGTTCGAGCACAGGACTTCTGAGGTATCGAGAAGCCAAAGGCTAAAAACTGGATGTGTTTAATGAGGCTGGTATGAAGTAATGGCATTAAGTAATGCTGACAAGCCTCTGAGCTCCCTTTAGATGTGCTACATAATTTAATGACTAACATTAGGTATGTTTTTTTGCTCTAAGGAGTATTAATAATCCATGTTGTATAAATTTTGTGACCCCTCAACTAATTTATTTGTGGAGAATGAGATAGAACTGTTAAAACCATCAATCTCTTTAGTAACTAATCCTTTACATAAAGGAAAATCAAAAATTACTAGTCATTGCACAATATTAATTAGAAGAAATGTTCCATGCATAAATCAGACTAGCAAAGCCTTCACTTTTTACCCTTCAATGTGTGAATTACATATTCAAAGTAGATTTAACTTTATACTCATTACTCCTCATAATGGGTTTAAAGTTAAATCATCTTTGAAAGAATAAATAAAATGGTATTTTTATTTATATCAAAATACGGGATGGATTGACTCTCTTTTTCAGTAGCTCCTCAAAAAGGAATTTAGGAATTTAAGAAAATCCTGTACTGTGAATTTGGAATGTGATGCTTTTGTATATAAATTTTCCCATATGTAAAATTTCCCTAGACAATGTGTCTCATAGTTTTCCTCCAATTCCCAAAGAGATGGAAGAACAAACAATAACAGGTCAACACACATCTAATGCACTTGGTATTGTATCTCATGAAACTCTTGAAGGAACACCATGGTAGCTGGTGTTAAATACACATAAAATCAACATTACCTAATTTATGGGCACTTAGAAGTACTTAGTAAGAACCACTGGATTATGCTTAGAGTACTATTAACAAGAGTAGTGTAATAAAACATGAACACAATAGAAGACAGTTCAGACCGTGTGGCTGGGATTCAGCCACGTTGTCTGGATTTTCTTAATTTTCAAGTAAGAGTAAGCTTAAATGTGCAATTGCCAAGTATTACATGTCAACGTCATACATGCTAGATGCCTTCTTTACATTACTCTTTTCTTATCTTCATTCTCATTTATCCTGCCAAATATCCCAAACTTTTCAAGGTCTCCCTGAACTCTTTTTATCACTCTTGAATGTAGATATGTCTTTTCTAAACCAAACCCTGTAAGTCACCCTTTCAGATGTTAGATAACTTCCCCGAAAATTTATGTTTCCCAGGAGGATTTTCAAATGCTAAAAATCCTTTCACCTGAATGTGATAGCTGACTCTCCTTTGAAACTGCATTCAACTAAACACTAATCTGTCAGTCCAGTCACAAAAATCACTTGAGTTTACAATGTCTCTGGACATTCTGCCATGCCAGTACCTGCATGGCTATTAGCTTCCATGTGCTATTCCTTGCCCAAGGACAGCATTTACTACCTACTTATTCCTACACTGCCAGTTCTTTCTCCAGAGAGCCCCGCACACTTCTAGAATAACCCACTTGAATTTTCTTAGTGAGGGTCAAGTGACACGAAGCATGTGAAATGTACCAGGAGCTTTGAAGGTGACATGGCTTGGTGACAGTCACACCTTCTCTATATTATGCTTCTGTTTTTCCAAGATTTCTTTCACCTTTACGACCCCCATTTCCAGTCCTCATATTTGTCATTCCTTTCAAAGTTTGAATTCATCGCATTTAGAGTGTGTTTTCTTAAAACCTTAATTTCTTGTTGACCCTCCTGCAGAGACTATTACATTGTATAACTTACTCTTTGATGCCTTCTAACAACTTGAAGTTTAGGTTATCTTCACTTCTGTCAAAGAAGGCTTTATTGTCTATAAAGACCAAATGCCTTGGGTCATGCTTTTTCTGGATAATATGTGCTAGAGCTACTGAATCCTGTTCGTCACATTTTGGCCTTAGTCCATTCTGCACGCAGTCATCTTCCCTCCGAGGTCTGAATCCACAGCAATTTGTATCTAAGCGATTATAAATCTAAAAATGGAAAACAGAAACAAAATCTAAGTCAAAACAAAACTTGAGGAAGTTAGAAGATTTCCAAAGAACTGGGGCTTTTTAAATAGTAGGTCTGCCAGAATTTAAAGGAGCCACATTCACGTAATTATAGGCAACTCTCCGAGCAAGTCCAAGATTCATCCTTCTGACTAAGCTATGGTTACAAGCATTTCCAGTTTCTTCTAACAGATCCAAAGATGACATGCAAGCTAGGCGTCTCCACCCTTAACATTCAAAGTTCCCACTGATGCCACCTTTAGGATCATGGCCAGAAGAGTCTTTACTAATGGTGGAAGAAGGGAACCACTGTACTTTATACATAGCTGGATTTTATATCCAGTTTTTTTCCTCCTCAGGTTGGGTTATAGAAAAACCTCAGTTCTCCCACTGGTACTGAACTTCATTACATCCCCTAAACTCTATGAACTTCCATATTTCTATATCTAATTAGAAATCACACATATTGAAGGGATGTGAAATTCAAAAATGATCACATAAAGTCCAGCCCATAGAAAAGCCATGATCATGTACCACTGTTCTGTAGCAGTGTCCTCCTGTTGTTCATCAATTTGCTCGAGCGCACACCAGTAATGTCTCCATTGTGAGACTTGTTGTTATTGTTTTTGGCATATCAAATATTCCACGTGGAGCTTGCCAGGCTCTGCCGTGCAGGCGGGATACTCTCGGTAATTTGCCAGACTCTCCGAGAGGGACGGAGGAATCGAACCCCAGTCAACCGCGTGCATGGCAAACACCCTACCCATTGTGCCATGACTATAGTATAAATAAATGAACAGAATGAGCAAACTGTTCAATGTAATTGAGCTTATTATGAGAAAAAGACTCTATCTCTTACAGATGAGGAAACTTGGAGCCAAAGAGATAGGGCTGTAGCACTGTAGCACTGTCCTCCCGTTGTTCATCAATTTGCATGAGCGGGCCCAATAATATCTCCATTATGAGACTTGTTGTTACTATGTTTGGCATATTGAATACATCACGGGGAACTTGCCAGGCTTTGCTGTGCGGGCAAGATACTCTTGGTAGCTTGCTGGGCTCTCTGAGAGGGGCGGAGGAATCGAACTTGGGTTGGTCGGGTCAACTGCGTGCAAGGCAAATGCCCTACCCACTGTGTTATCACTCCAGCTAGTCTGAAAGTAGTGAGTGGTGGCAAGGTTAACCTAAAGTCAACCTGCAGCAAGAGATGGGACAGTGGAAACTATTGTTTTTGAATTCAAACAACCTAGATTTGTTCCTTGGCACCACATTTGGTCCCTTGACCAGTGTATTCGGTCCCCCAAACACAGCCAGAGTGATCTTTGAGCCCAGAATCAGTGATAAATTCTAAACATTGCTGGTTATGGTCTGCCCAACAAACATCAAGGGGGGGCAGAGATTACATAGAAAGGGGGAAATTATTTTCATCTCTTTCACGGAAGGACAGAAATAATATTGATTGATCAATTAATCAAAATAAATTAAAGCCTAAAGTGAGGAATTAGATGCATTAAAGATAAGTCTCTACTCTCAACTTTACTAGCTTTGTGACCTTCTGTAATTTCTTTATAGCTCTCAGTTTATGGGCTAGAGTGATAGCACAGCGGTAGGGCATTTGCCTTGCACGCAGCTGGCCCAGCCAGCCCGGCCAGCCTGGCCGAGCCGGGTTCTATTCCTCCACCCCTCTCGGAGAGTTCGGCAAGCTACTGAAAGTATCTCGCCCGCATGGCAAAGCCTGGTAAGCTACCCGTGACGTATTCAGCATGCCAAATACAGTAACAACAAGTCTCACAATGGAAATGTTACTGGGCCCGCTTGAGCAAAATTGATGAACAACAGGAGGATAGTGTCAGTGACAGTGACTCTAAATTTAATTACTTACATAATAGGAATGCATTATTCACTTTACAGTGAGCGAAAATGTTGGTCAAGATGTTAGTACACCAATGAAAAGCCCAGACACGCGGGATCAATGACTGCAAACTCCAGGCCTCAAGGGATAGGAGATAGACCAGTCTTTCTCATCTCCCCATCCCTTTGGGACCCTGGATGTTACACCCACAAACTGCTTCCAGCTGCTACGTAAGCTCATTAACAGCCATGATCCAGAGACACACAAAAGAATCTCGGAGCCAAGCAGCTCACTGCAGAGATGTCTCTGGACCTTATGCCCTGCTGATTTCGCGAGAGTATCACAGTCATCCCTCAACCTGCACCCTGAGAATTACAACTTCCAAATGCCGCCAACTTCCAGAACCCAATGAAAAGCTCGGGTGTGTGGGAACAGTGACGGCAAACTCCAGGCCTCAAAAATAGGGGATAGCTCACTGCAGAGATTTCTCCAGAACCTAATTATCTCAAATTTTAGAATTCCAGGAGCGCACAAAGCCACTCTTGCAGCCACATGACATTTTATGCTCTACATAACACTGTAGCACTGTAGCACTGTCCTCCCGTTGTTCATCAATTTTGCTCGAGCCCAGTAACATCTCCATTGTGAGACTTTTGTTACTGTGTTTGGCATATCGAATATGCCATGGGTAGCTTGCCAGGCTTCGCCTGCGGTGAGATACTCTTGGTAGCTTGCTGGGCTCTCCGAGAGGGGCAGAGGAATCGAACCCGGCTCAGCCGAGCCACACACAAGGCAAATGCCCTACCACTGTGCTATCGCTCCAGCCCCATAACAAGCAATACAAAATAAATTATCTAGCATCTGCCTGTTCCACAGGTTTAAGTGGTAGTGGCAAAATTCAAAATAATGGTGGTGTGTGTATTATAATGGTAGTGGCTGGAGCGATAGCACAGCAGTAGGGCGTTTGCCTTGCGAGCAGCCAGTCCAGAAGAGCCAGGTTCAATTCCTCCACCCCTCTCAAAGAGCCCAGCAAGCTACGGAGAGTGTCTAGCCCATATGACAAAGTCTGGCAAGCTACCCATGATGTATTCAATATGCCAAACACAGTAACAACATGTCTCAAAATGGAGACGTTACTGGGCCCGCTCGAGCAAATCGATGAACAATGGGAGGACAGTGCTACAGAGTTATGTAATAGTGGTGGGACTGGTGTCAAAATATTCAACATAATCTATTATTGTGAACAACTTTATGAAAATTAAAAAAAAAACTTTAAATAAAAAAAAAGATATTGGTAGACCTTCCAGTTCTGATTTTCCATATAGGAGTTCAATATAAAAGATACAAAAAAATGAAAACTGTTATTTCTACTAACTATGCACATGTAATATGAGCTATTTGCCTCAAAATAAGTTTCCAATGAAAATGGAAATTTATCTATTTTATTTATTTATATTTTATTGAAATAAAATAATTTTATAGAAAATACCAGAGTAGAGACAGAGAGAGAAGTCTCTCAAGTTAAAGGAAGAAAATTTATGGACCTGAATTGGAATAAGAATAACTCCAGAATTGACAGAATGTTGAAAGTAACTCAGTTAAATTTTAGCTATCTCTATTTGTTTACCACCCAGTACTCCAACCTCCACCATGTAAATGCATTTTTTTTTTTTTGCTTTGTGGGTCACGTCCGGCAATGCTCAGGTGTTACTCCTGGCTTCGCATTCAATAATTACTCCTGGTGGTGCTCAGGGGACCATATGGGATGCTGGGAATTGAACCCGGGTAGGCCATGTGCAAGGCAAATGCCCTACCCGCGGTGCTATCATTCCAGCCCCTGTAAACGCATTTTGAATTAAACAAAATATTTTAAAGATCAAGAATTAGAAAAGAAGTTAACATGGAGTCTGGCGAGACAGTACATCTGGTAGGGTGTTTGCCTTGCACAGAGTTGACCTGTGTTCTATCCCCAACATCCCATAAGGTCTCCCGAGCACCATCAGGAGTAATTCCTGAGCTTGGAGCCAGAAGTAAAACTTGAGTATCTCCAGGCGTGGCCCCAAAACAAACAGAGTAAAACAAAACAGAAAGTTAGCCTGAACCTTAGAAGTTGGCTATAAAAGAGCAGTCACCTGGGGACATGCGCAAATGGTGAGTCACGAAAAGCATGTGGACAGCACATAGTACAAACACTTCGGGTCTAGAGACAATGCAGAGATAGGAGGGGTCTCTGATAGGATTGATTTTAGCCAGCTGATTGGTAGCACCATATATTTCACCCATGATTTATCCAAGTGTTCACAAATGGCAGGACTCCAGGGATGGAAGTTAACACCACTAGTGTGTGTGTGTGTGTGTGTGTGTGTGTGTGTGTGTGTGATCTGATAATACAAAAATTTCCCAAAGGTGAGGAGCAGTGTCTCAAGCAAATTATCGTGGGATAGTATTTGTAAAGTCTAAATTAGAGGGAATGAAGAAATATTAGAGGATGTTAAGTTACTTGCCTTGCAATCCCTTGCAAAACCATATGCTCCCCCAAGCACAGCAACTCAAATGTGTTATGAACCAAAATACATCAAAAATAATTTTTCTTATCTTATTAAGGCACACTTGTTTGAAAATTTATTAATAGTGGGGTTTCAGACACACAATATTCCAGCACCAACCCCACTACCAGTGTCAACTTCCATCTATCAAAAATCAATCTTCTAAAGTATAAATTGAGATATTAGAGAAATTTATTAAGTCCTTTCTTCTGAAAGAATTTCATTGATTTTATGTAGTGCCTTGACTGCCTTTGAATATAAAAGAAAGGAGATGTATAAAAGAAATTGCATCTGATAATCAACTAATTAATTGAAGTCAGGGTTAGGGAGAACATAAAACATATTTCTTTCAGAAACTGTTTCACATCTAATCCTACTTTATTGTGTAAGTTATAAAATCTGAGTATCTTTATTAATTTTTGTTATAATTACTTAGGAGGAATAAAAGTAAATCCTGTTTAATTTTGTTGATATTATCAAGGTTTACTGTCTTGTATATGTGCTTAAAATTTAACCCTTAACAAATCTAACTACTTCTTAAATACTTCTCTAAACCTTAAACTCTCTCTCTCTTATTGTTAGTA